TCCCCACAACAACAACCCTGTGAGGTGAGTTGGGCTGAGAGAGAGGGACTGGCCCAAAGTCGCCCAGCCGGCTTTCATGCTTAAGGCAAGACTAGAACTCACCGTCTTCTGATTTCTAGGCCAGCACCTTCACCACTACACCAAAGTGGCTCTCTAAAATTATTTGATCTATCTAAATTTCCAATTGAAATAATCTTCCGAAATAATCAGAAGTCTATCCTGAATAATGACACTCTTCTCTCACAAGTAAGTGTTAAGGTCTGTCCTTGCTTACAGACAGCCCCCAGTCTAAGGTAATTACTCACAATTAGCAAGAAATGCCTCAAAGCAGGTCAACTGTTTTTATTATTTGTGTTTTAATTTATTCATTATTATCTTTTTCATTTAGAATAAAATATTACTCTTTCAAAATGTTGAGTGAAACTGAAAGCCAGCTTGAGTGTTCTGTTTCAACAAAAAGGTGGGATATAAATCAAGCAAATAAATAGCTACAAGACAAATTGGTGAAATTACTCCCAACCAGGCTTTCTAGCTCTACAAGATACTCTCTACTACGCCGCCTTTCCTTTGCCAATTATCTGACAGGTAGGCATATTTCCAATAAGGCCGGTAGCCATTCACCAATTTCACTGTCTAGCAATACCTGTGAGGCCCATGCAAAATGCAGAGACATTCTTCAAAATAAAGATGATAAAAGCTGTCACTTTGTTTGGCAGTATGTCAACTGTTCATTTATTAAATGAATCTTTAAGATCCAGGTGAGTGGCAAAAAACACCTTATGGGAGCCAAGGCAGCATCTACAGTCACTACATTATCTATATTTATTTTAATGACCAATGGGAGGGAGGAACAAGAAAAGCAAAAAGAAGAGAAGAATGTTCAAGAGCTACTGTAAGTAAAAATCAAAATCTTCAAACTATTATACTAGAAATCAGAAATATCTTTTTTCCTGGTTGCCCTTTTGCAAAATATCTTTCCAAAACGGGTGGGCTTTATCATAAATATCTTTGGCACCCAGAAGTTTCCCTCTTCTTTTCTTTGGCTACCTGTAGGCATATGGTAGGGTCAAGCAGCAGAACTGAAGCCGCAGGGAAATCTAAAGAAACCAACAGCATTCGCCTGCGGAGAGGGCCAAAACGCCGCTCCTTACTCAAGGGCCTTCCTCGCGAGGTCCCACTCCCCTCTTCCTCGCCCCTTCCAGCAAGGTACCTGCAAGTTCCGGGTGATCAGGTGATACTTCTCCTGGGCTGTCAGTTGATGGCCCATGGTGCCGCCAGATGCTGACTCACCAACCAGGCTCGGAAGTCTGGAACCGAACGAAATGCCGTTATTAAAGGGGAGGAAGCCCCCTCCCGCAGCCCAGGCGCGGCGCCGACCCTTTCTCCTTCTCCGAGCCCCGAGATCAGAAAGGGAA